CCCTTGACATTCACCGCCCACTCATGCGTTGAGTCCCACCATGTTTCAATGATCCCCACTATGTCCGGGCTGGTGTCAGCTAGCTGGGTTGCGTGAGAGGATGTGGGTATGGTTGTGGGGTGGGAGTGTATGGAGGCTGTGGGAGGGTCTGGGTGTGTTTGGGGGCGTGGTGGGAGGATTGGGAGTGTGTGGGGTGAGTGGGGTTTTGATGGGGTGGGAGTGTGTGGGGGCTGTGGTAGGGCGTGAGGTTATGGTGGGGTGTGGGAGTGTGTTGGGGGTATGGTGGGAGAATTGGGAGTATGTAGGGTGAGTGTGGGGTTTTGATGGGGTGGGAGTGTGTGGGGGCTGTGGGAGGGTGTGGGTGTGTGTTGACGGTATGGTGGGAGGTGGGGAGGTTGACCATCCCATCTTAGCAGAACATGATTCCAGCTGCATGGCTGGAACCCACACAGTGTGGCACAGAGCCAGCCTTGGTCAGTGGTGTGCTAGAGTTTCAGGAGCTGCACAAAGTCCCACGTCATCCGGCTGGTCTGGCTCCGTGCCTCCATGTGGTGTTCCTGGCACTCTAGCTGGGAGCAGCACATGCTAGAGTCCCACAAACCCCTCCTCCTGCCCGTTCTTACCTGAATTTGCACTCTCGGACGGAGGGAGTGCTGGGGAACAGCCACAGGGTTACCAGGGCAGGAGGCTGTGCTAGGTACAAGTTTCTGGTCTTCAGAAACTTCTGGGGGTTGGGGGGATGGTGGGACAGGACGGGGCTAGGCAGGTTGAGTTGGGTTTGAGGTTGGTTTCAACCAGAGCCCGAGCTGCTTGGTACTGTAGCTGGCACTTCCTGCTACCGGTGTCTCATCTGGTAATAATTGTCTAAATGTTAGAGGGGCCCCGTGGGCCTGATATAATAGCCTGGTGGGCCAGATCTGGCCTGTGGGCTGTATTGTTTCTGCCCCTGCAATAAAAGCACAGAACAGTCTTTTGGATTCTGTGCCAGAAGCAGTGATTCATAAGCGCTGGGATATATGAAGGAGCTGGTGTTTCCCTTGAATGCAGATCCCTTGTGTGCTGATGGCTAATGCTTCCCTCTCTCCAAGACCTGTTACTGATGGCATTTATATATAGCTATACAGTGAGAGCTGTGCTAACATCTGCCCAGTGGTTATAGTAGTGTGCTTGGCTGGCCAGTAACATTTTGGCCTTTCCAAGAGTCTTTCTATATTAACTGTTCTAAGTCACACAGCCATGGCAGGAGGCTGGAAGACAAGCTAATGGATTTCACTGTGCTCCACTTTCCTGCCCACTGCTGCTATTTCCAACAAACTCTTGGCTGCTTTCCACAGTTCTGTGTTCTGTTTCTGCTCTCTGGCCCTGGGAATCTACTGGCTAGAATGAGCTGATTGGTTCTCTCTGGCCTGAGGGGGTGGGTCTCCATGCCCAATATGTCTCATGATGACCACTACTGCTGATAAGGCCTCAGCCCCTTGTATGTTATGGAGTAGCAGTCACACACCTGATTTACAACATTGCACCCTGGAGCCAGAGCCCAAGCTCTGCAATTCATGGGCTGGCTGAGCTCCCTCCCTCCAATCTCTTGCGTGGTGGGGGAAGGGAGCATGGGAATAAAATGTTCTGGATTCATCAGCTTTTGCACACAAGGACATTGAGAACCAGTGTTTATGAAGGAGGGATTAGCAGCTCTGAATTGGCTTCCTCCCCAACTCTGCCCTTGGCACTAGTACAGATCTCTCCTGTTCCCCATGACTCTCAGCTCAGCCTGTCCCTGTGAGGGGCTGGGAGGACACAGTCCTCCTCATGTTGGCATGGAAGAGGCTGTTGCCTCAACAGAAGGGTTCTGCCCTCCCTCCCTTCCTCCCCCAGTGCCTGCAGTTGAGATCTAGGAGTTCACAGCACTCATCCTGGCTGCACAGACTCACACTATGGCAGTTTGAGAGGATGGAAAGCAGGAGCCGGGCAGTGGTGCTGTGATCCCTGCATCCTCAGGCTGTGGAGGGGGGATGCTAGGGCTGGACTGTGGGTATTTGGTTTGTGAACAGTAGGGGAGATGCTGAGAGTACCATGAGATACTCAGAGTTGTCCTCTACCCTCACTGAAAGGGGCTTGTGTTCAGTGCTACATTGGAAGCGGGATCTGAGTACTAGCATATGCTGCTCATTGATCCCTCAAGTAGTGGACTTGTGGGCACTGCCAACCCATGCACAACTTGGAGAGGAACCCTTCAAGGCAAATGCTAAATACTCCTGCTGTTTCTGTATGTGGTGTTCTTCCTGCACCAGTTGTCAAACATGGCTTGGCTATGGAGCTTGGGCATGATGCTGTTGAAGGAGCAGGCTGAGGTCAGGTCAGTAAGACTGAGTTCCTGCCTTGACAGGAGCATGAAAGGGTCCCATGGCCACCTGCATGATCCAAAGGGACCACATTCCAGCTTGGAGCACTGCATTCCCCTTGTCACTAAAATCTGCTGGTGCTGTATTAATTGAGTGATTGGACTCATGTAGAATGCTTTTCTTCACTTGCTGTGCTCATCTACTGCAGAGTATCTGCTCTGCGTGGTTAAACAGCTGCCATCCTTTACTCTAGAGGCAGCTTTATGTTTAGTTGTGGCTAAAGTGACTTCTCTGTATGGTGTGTTAGAAACACAGGAGGCAGGTGCTGCTCCTAGAGTTCAGGTCTTGACCATGGAAGTGCAGGATCCAAGTGTCAGCACTTAGTTGTTTGAAAAGGACAGAGATTGAGGGGGGATGTACCTGTTATGCCATAGGCCTCTGTGGGACCAGCCAGTGGGGTCTGTCTGGGAAATGGACACTCACACTACTTCCACTGCATATAGAACCAGTTTTAGAAGCGAGTAAGCAGGGCTCTACCTTGTGGTCCCTGACTATGGGGATCCTACTAGGCTAAGTTAGTACAAGTCATAACATATGTAGGTGAGAGGAGGGACGGGCCCATGACTTAGCCTCTGCCTTGTGCCCCCACCAGTCTAACTCTCTCTGCTCACATAATCAATATCTTTCTTAGCTAGAAGTAGAAGCTGCCCTAGCATGCCAGTGGGCACCTTGTAGTTTTGCAGATGCAAGGGTGAGTGCTGGACAGTAGACACCCTCAGGTTTAGCACTATTCTTGCATTTCATACAGTGATTTGTGGCAAAGATCATGGGCTGGAGTAGCTGGGAACTCCTTTAGGGACTCTTTTGCTGGGTGAGGTTATGGTGGGAGTAGCTGAGAGAAAGTCTGTAATTTAATCAGCACACCTCTGACTGCCCTCTAGTAAAATCTGCCCCTGGAATCCCTGACTCCCCTCATATGCTGTGTTCCTTCCCTGTTTTGTACCTGCTGGGTCTCTTGCTGAGGCTGGAGTTAACACCTGCTCTTTAACAGGTGCTCCTGGAATTGCACTGAATGCAGAGGTAATTTATCTCTCTTAACCACGTCTGTCATTTTGTCTGTCCTTCTAGAATGGAGACCAGCGGTGATACTTGGTGCTGTCAACTGTGCCGATGAGTCCAATGAGAAAGTGTGTAGGGACTTTAGAATAACTAGGTACCCAACTTTGAAGGTAAGTTTACAGGGGCTGGGATGGGGTGGGAGGAAAGCAGAGCCTGTCTCATTTACCTGGTATCAGGGCTGCAGCCTGTTTGATATGATATCCAAGAGTCTCTTGATCAGTTCCTCAGTGGCTCTGGTCCCCAGTCTGCATATTGCATGGTATTTTGACTTTGTTTGGAGAGGGGCTGAATAACAGTAATTGGCCACAGGCCAATTCAGACATCCACCAACCTGTTTATCCTGATGATTCAATAGCAAAAAATGTTTAGTATATAGGGTGGTTCTCTGGCTATGGGGAACAAGGCAGGGAGGAAGAATTCTCTACGTATGAATTGTCCCTTAAAGGGCTTGCCAGGGGAAACCAGATTAGCTTGTCTCTGGGAAGCTGTTATGGGCTATGTAATCCTCTGGCCTTGTGGCTCAGGGAGCAACTGTCACAGATGTCCTGAGGGATAGCCAGCTCAGGTTTGTTGCGGGTAGATCTTGCTTGACCAATCTGATCTCCTTCTATGATCAGGTGACCTATCACCTGGACAAGGGAGAGGAGATTGACGTCATATATCTTGACTTCAAAAAAGCCTTTGATCTGGTATCCCATGATCACCTCTTGGCAAAACTGTCCAACTGCGGCCTTGGGTCCACCACGATCCGCTGGCTGGGGAATTGGCTCCGTGGTTGGACCCAGAGGGTGGTGGTTGACGGAAGTCAATTGTCATGGTGCCCTGTGACCAGTGGGGTCTCCCAAGGCTCTGTCCTTGAACCCATATTGTTCAACATCTTCATTAATGATGTGGACCTTGGTGTCAGAAGTGGACTGGTCAAGTTCGCCAATGATACGAAACTCTGGGGTAAAGCATCCACACCTGAGGGCAGGAGGGCGAGCCAGGTTGACCT